AGTAGTATTAGTGTCAATGGTATGCATCAAACTTACTAACAATAGTGGGTGTCTTTAATGAAATGATTATAATTATATTTTGATAGTTTTTTATTGTAGTTGGGTGACAATTGTTTAACATCATTGTTTAAGTGAATGATGACCGTCAAGTCATAGTGTTAAGAAACTATAGTAAGGTGATTGTGGCCTTGTAATGGTACTCATGCACATAAATTTAGATGATTGCAGGAAATAAAAGTCAATATGAGATGATATTGGATGAGGGCAATAACCAGTTTTTGTCATTTGTGTTGATCTTCAGTCATAGTTCTCTCTAACTTCAAGTTAATTTGTTACTCAAAATTCCCATTACATGTTCTTTCATGTGTTGAATGGAGATGTCTTTAAATTTTTTTACACGATCCTTTCAATAATTTTAGTCCAAAATTCTCAAACACTCTATCTTATAGTTTGTATTGATTACCACCATAAAAAATCATTCCTTAGACCCTTAAGTGTCTAATGAAATACAAATTGACTGATTTTAAGCTCCTAGCAATTCTCTTGTCGTTGACACTCCTTTTTACTATTAAACACATAAAATTTTGAGATATTTTCATCCCCTAAGTAGTATAATTAACTTTTAACTATACTTTAAGTGTATAGTTTGAGTTCATTTGAACTTGGATCAAAACACTTTTGGGTCCTTATATTAACCTTGCCTGAACTTTAGTTTTAGCTATATGATATTATAATTCAAATGATCTTTAAACTAATCTCTTGAAGTTTTTCAGTGTACTTAATGCATTAATATTCTTGTTTGATCAAATGAATTTGTTGGCCATGTATTAGGTTTGATAATTCATCATCTTCTCATGGAATAAATATATAATTTTGTTAAGAAAATAATTTGAACTTTTCAATATGATTTAAACAAAGTTATATTGATTTTCTAATATTTGTCACAAATCACTCTCAAATCACCATGGCTCAATTGCATGATAGCCATCACTTGATGAACATTCATTATCATATTATTTGACTCACTCTTCTCTTCAACACAACTTTGCCACATCTTCTTTTTCAACATCCAAGATCATATTTAAAGGTGAATTAGGATTTTATAAGAGATTTTTTATCATAAATGTTGGATAGAGTTTAAATTAGAAGTATTTTAGGAAAAATAATAAAAAAAACTCTTTTTTTTCTTGGAAATTTACATGCATATCACACAATTCTTATGTATTTACATATAGCACATTGGTGTTATAAACCTCTGCATGAAAGGGTGTATTTCACTTATAAGAAGTGGTAATAATGTTACTTTTTATGTGATATTAAATATTTTAGTATTAAATGTGTAAATATGAAAGTTTAGGTGTGAGTATGTAAATACATAAGAATTGTGTGCTATATTTGTAATTGCCCCCCTTTTTTTAAATGACTTTGAAGAGTTGACTTGTAGTATGGAAATTTATTCGGTGTCTTAATATTAACATCTTGCAATTTCAAACAAATAGCTTTGTATGGCTAAATGTTTTATTATTATTTTTTTTATTTGATTTTGAAAGGAGCTCTTGGCAATAGGGCAGTCAAAAAAAAAACATGTTGTTCGCGAATTTTATTTGATTTTGAAAGGAGCTCTTGGCAATAGGGCTGTAAAAAAAACACGTTGTTCGCGAACTGTTCGTGTTCGGTTTGCAATGAGTTTGTGTTTGATTCGTTCGATAAGTAAACGAGACGAATGTGAACAAATTTTTTTCGTTCGGTTAGTTAAACGAACCAAACACGAACAGTGATGCGTTCGTTCGTGTTCGAATCGTTATTGTTCGAAATATAAAATAATTTAAAATAATTATATATAAAAAAATTAATGATAATTTTAAAAAAAATTTTTTATAAATTATAATATATAATAAATTAATAATAATAATATATTAATATACTATATTAGTAATATACTAATATATGTATTATATATTTATATAATATAAGTTATATAATTAATATAATATATTATTTATATATATTAATATTAGGGATGTCAAACTGACTCGTCGTTCACGAACAACTTGTGTTCGGCTCGTTCGTTAAGAAACGAATACGAACAGTGACTTCACGAACAATTTCGAACATGTGTTTATTTCAAACAAATTAAATTTCAAACTAACAGAACACGAACACAAGCTCTTTTCGTTCGTGTTCGGTTCGTTTACACCCCTACTTGGCAACAATTTTTCCGGTGTTTGACTTTGTATTGACGAGTATTTGAATTTGTAGTAGAGATTAATGTAATTTTATTTATAAAATTACTTTTTTCTAGATTATGTTGATTACTTCTTCAATTTTGAGGTAAAAAAAATACACATGTTATTTTATTGAAATGTGCAAATTTTGATAACCATGAAGAAACATATTATGGAGTCCTAATCATGCTGATTAACAGTATGTTTTAGCACTTTATAATGATATAAACATAATATGATTTAAGGTGAGGCAATTCAATTGCATTGTATTATAGATGTTGTGATTTTGATTCATTTTTATCCATGTTTTTACCATATTATAATATTTATGATTGTATCTATTTATTATATTAGCCTAAGATACAATTTATAATCAAATCATGATTGGTGGTCTTTGGATGTTGATCATATACTAAACACGCAGTGGCAGGACACTAAATAATTGATGATTGAATACTGATGAATCATGCTCAAAATATTTGAACCCAGTTTGTGTAATCTTCGTGTCATGATCGAACATCCCCTGAACCATCTTTGACCGTCTTATATGAACCTTCTTTGAGTTGATTTTGATCGTTTAGATGTGAGGTAGATATTAATTAAAACTATTTTAATAATATTTATTATGTCCATCCATGATAATAAATAAAAAAGTAGTTTGATCAATTTCAACCATATTCAAGAAAAAGTTAAATTTAATTTAGAATGAAGGTCAAACTTATCTTTGAATGACAATTTAAATATAATTTGATCAAGGGAGGAAGGTATCTTATGTTCTTTATAATATGATCCCTATTATTTTATGACTTTGATCTACACAAATATTGGTTGAAATTTAAATTTTTGTAAGGGGCACTAATGTGGGGTTAGGGCCGTAAACGATTCGCTTTCGAGCAAAGCCAAGGTCAGCTTGGAATTGGCTCGAATAGATTTAGTGCAACTTGAAATCAACTCGTGGCCTTTCATATTTGATTTCGAGTTGAGCTGGCTCGAAATTGAATTGAGCTTGATCAGGCTTGAAATCCAAACGAACTAGCTCCAATTGAGTTATTTGGAGCTCTTTCAGCTCAGAGGCAGCTCGATCTGGCTCAAAACTGAAATTAACTAGCTCTTTCGTTCAAGCTTGAAATCAGCTTGAAATTGATTCATGACTCGTTATATTCGATTCTACTTGACATTATAGATAATTCTTATAAATAAAAAATTCTACAAGTCGATCTCGAGTCAATTCAAGCCAATTCACATAAGCTCGAAATAGGCTCAAAAAAAATTTGATCCAAAGTTTTGGCTTATGGAACGGATAGTTTATTTCGATCCGATCTTGATCCAAGCCAAAATTAAAATCAATTTTTTAGCGCTTAACCATGTTCAAGCTAAATTCACGAGAAATTATTCCATACGGACACCGCATGTAGAGATGCATGCGGTGTCCCATTTCCACCCGCGATCAAATTTTTTTTTTAAATAATAAAAAAAATTTAAAAATTGGGCCCACCAAAATATATTTTTGCACGGTGGAGATCGGACACCCCATGCATCTCTGAATGCGGTATCCGTATGGAATAATTTTTCTAAATTCACAGCTCTATATGGGATTCTCTCTCTCTCTCTCTCTCTCTCGTTTCTCGTTCAAAACGCCATTAATGTGGGTTTTTCTCTTTCTACTAATTAATTCGTTTCAAATATCTTATTTCTACGAAAAAGACATCTTATTTTATAGAACTGCATGTGATTGGGCCTCTTGCAAAGGAAAAAATTTTAGGTGCGGAGTACGCACATACGCACTGCGGCTAAGACTGACGAAGGAAAAAAAAATATAATAAACAAACCTCCGCTGTGTCTGTATGTGCGGACTCCGCACGTAAAAACTTCTCCTTGCAAAGAGGAAGATGGCATGGCCTTTCTCATGGACTTTTTTGTCAACCACTTTGTATTTTCTTATGGGCGGAATTACTCATAAATTCTGATAATATCACCACTTTGTATGATAGTTTGGCTTATCTATATCATTTTTTCTTATTCTTTTATGAGAAATAATCACAATTTACTTGTTCTACACCAAAAAAAGAGTTATTATTTATTCTAGTTTTTAAATATAGACAGTGAGCATGACACATGAGATTTAGATTAATATGATTTAATAAATATTGTAAATTTAGATTTATGTCTAAATTTGAAATTTACGTCGTGAAATCCAAATTTACCGCATCGTGGGATTTATTTTGTCCAAAATGACCGTCTGACAAGATTTCACTTAAATCCCGCATCAAATCGTACGATTTACCATATCTGAAATTTAAAATCCTGTCTTAACTCCAAAATGCGAAGTTAAAATCATCAATTCGTAGGATTTACTAAATCTGAAATTTACGGATGAAACCTGTGAAATTTAAATTTACCACATCCTGGGATTTAACAAGACTTCGCTTAAATTCTACATAAATACCGCCCTAAGTTTATTGTCGGACGGCCCCTAAATATCTTACTTTAATCTTCTAATATTTAGATGATCTCATAACTTTTATTTTCCCAAACATAAAATCATTGAAACTTTTAGTGAATCATTAAACTACATTGTTGTGGTATATATATAAAATAAAAGAACGATCGATGACGTAGCAAAAAAAATAGAACGAGAAAATTCACATCAGAAAACAGTAACACAACGAAACACAAAAATTTTCGTGGTTCGGCAAATTGACTACGTCTACGGAGTTGCAGAGGATTTTACTACTTCAAGCAGTGAGCATGACAAAGAATTACAAGAGGGATCTCTCACTTCCTCACTCTCTCTTAAATACACACCAAAAAAGATAAACATACAAGAGAAATCCTATTTTTATTCTGCTGCAAGCCAACAAGAAGAAGCCAAGAAAGATCAATCTTCTTCTTCTTCTTTCTTCTTCCTTCTGTCGCAAGAAACTATTGCTTGCACTTCTCTTTCCTTCAATAACTTACACCAGCAAAGGAACCAAATGGTGGGGGCTTCCTTTTATCGCGACTGAGAGAGGCCGATGGAGGGAACAGTTGAGCGGGATCCAAATCACGGTAAGTAGAAGAGGCGGGAGCAACATAAGCAGGTGTCGTTTCACAAAAACAACTGAAGCTTCGCTTCGGTTCGCGACAGAGGAAGGCGGAAGCGAGAGTCGCGACTGTTCATGATCGGGGGAAGGCGGAGCGGGAGAAATCGGTTTCCACATTTAACAAATCTCCCACTTAGAGACCGATACACAGTCTGCATCGTCTTCTTCCTCAAACTGATATCCTCAACTGGCGATGTCGCCCATTTCCTCAAACGTGATATCCCCCACTTCTGCAACTCAAGACCCATGTCTTCACACCAGAAGACCAACTGAAGTTGCGCACAACTTCAGTTTCCCAAGTGTAATACCCATAGTCAACATATCAGTAGGCTCAACATAGACTGACACCTCCAAGTTATTTCCTGGGTTACTCATGTATCTGCTTACAACTCCCATTGCATGGGCAATATCCTGCCTCTACTGAAAGCATTTTTCAACAAGTCTAGTCTTATACCTCTTACTGCCATCAAGCTCAGTCTTCACTCGGTACACCCATTTGTTGTGTAATTCTTTCTTTCATGATGAAAGTTCTGTCAACTCTCACTTGCTCGAATTTTCATCTTGCAAAATTCTTCATAGCTCTGTGATTCTTCACCATTTGTCTATGGAACAATAAGAATGGTTGCCCCGGACCCAATCTCCTCTTCACTTCTATCACTGCTTGGAGCATAAGAAACTGATTAAATAATTAATTAGAAGAGCGAGTTGAATAAATAAGATTTAAATATTAATTTTAAGAAAAATATAACAAAATTTTATAAAGTATTATTACTAAATGTACTTTTCGTTGCGAGAATTTCTAATATTAGGTGAAGAGAATACTGAAATTAAAAGAAAAAGAGGTGGAGAAAAAATCAGAAAAAAACAATGCAAAGCCACAATGTTGTGTCATACAACAGCATGACACAACAACAACAAAATAACAAAATTTTTATCCCACTATGTGGGGTCAGCTACATGAATCTTTTTTCTCTATTCCATCCTCTTTAGTGTTATATTTTCATTTAATTTTAATAAATTAAGATCACCATGGCACCATTCATAGGAAATAACATGCGAAGAAATAGATAAAAAAATGAAAGACATTGGCTAAATGACATTGTTAGGCTTGGAACATAAAGATAAGGCTTGAAAAACAAAATGTTCAACACCATGACATTGGCTATTGGCTATCGGCTATAGGCACCACAATACCTGAAGATTAATGAAAAAAATGTCAAGAGATTGAGCATGATGCTTTGGCACTACAATAGGAATTCCTTTGCGTCACAAGAAGTACAAGATAGCTTAAAAGATAGAAAGCTTAATATTAGACACTAACCCTTATCACCATGGTGGTATTATACCCCATCAAAGTAAACAAAAAGACGTGCACTTAGCAATCTTTGCGCTACCAGATTCAACATCGCAATACAATGACCTTACACATTCAATCTAGAAGCAATCTTAAATCCGATTAAGAGTGTTATAAATGTAGTTGAGGGAGTTATTTGTATGGGCATACTAAGTGACCGTATTGAAGATAAGGTATGTAACATCCCAAACTCTCATCCATTGAGATATTGTCTGTTATGGCCTAATGGCCTCAGTTTTTCCACAATGGTATAACTTCTCAAGAGGTCACTCATCCTAGGAGTGGTCCCAAGAAAGCACACTTAACTTTGGATTTTCTAATAAAATTCCACAATTACACTAAAAGGCTCCTTGATGTTTGCGAGGTTCATCATCAATCCGGGGGGTCCCTCATCCTGAAGATTGTAAAGTCATTTTTTAACTATATCATAATATTTGGTGGCATGAATTCAACTCCTAATACACCCCATGAACCTTTATTAACCATGATTGACCAATCTTCAACCACGCTTAAACCATCTAGGAACCATCTTTGAATACCTATACAAAACATCGTTGAAGCCTAATCATTTAGATTAGTTATAGATGCAATCAATTCTTTATTATAATAATATTTAATGATGATAATCAAATAAAATTGTGGCTTGATCAATTTGAGCCATATTCAAGTGTTGCTTGAACATTGTTCAAATCCTAGAAAAGTCATTTTAAATCATTTTCAAACCTTATTCAAACTCAAATTATACCTATGTTAGAATGAGGGTTTAAACTATTTTTGAATGATAATTTGAATAAGATGTGGAACCAACTTCTAACATTTTTCAAGTTTTTTTAAATCCACTTCTTTTTCCTACTTTGCTCTACTCTAATATTAATTATGACTTTATTAAATAAGAATTTTGTGGTTAAAAGTAGGAATTTTTTTTTTAGAGTGAATTTTTAGGCATAATCTTTCAATAAATAAATGGGTTGGCATACTTATACAATTTTTGTTATTAGGTAGCGTAATAAAGCCTTTTTTTTTTTCTTAAGAAGATTATCAATCATTAACTCGATAAAAGTTAATTAATGTGTTTTAACGAATTTTTATGCTTATTTCTGTAGGATGCTAATGTGGGTGTGTTCTCTCTCTATCTCTCTCTCTCTCTACTAATTTATGTCTAATAATTTATTTCTATAAACAAAAGATGGTTTTATTTTGTCAAAGTGTATGTTGTTTGGCTCTCTCTCTCTCTCTCTCTCTCTCTCTCTCTATACTAATTTATGTCTAACAATTTATTTCTATAAACAAAAGACGGTTTTATTTTGTCAAAGTGTATGTTGTTTGGCCACTTGCAGAAGATAAAGACCACATTGTTTTCTCATGTAATTATATTGTCGATCATTTAGAAAGAAGAAAGTATGACAAAAGAGGGCCCACGGACAAAATATCAAAGGGTTCACTTATTTGATTAGATGCAGCCACCACCCAAGCCAAAACTAGAGGGCAACCAGATGAAGTTGTCTAAGTCAAAACCAAAGCTTAGGAGAAGAACAAAATCAAGACAGATAACAAAACAAATAACAAACGAGCCAACCACTACAAAAAAGCTGACCAAAGATAACAACATACCTTCCAGTAGATCCAACCTGAGGAAAGACCTAGTTTCTCGATCTCATCAACGATCCCACGGATAGCCCTGATGCTCCTCATTTGGGATCAAGAATTGACAATACAACAGAGTCTTACAGGCTCTCCTTATTGATGAACAAACAACCTATCAAGTTATGATAATTCGCCCTTTATACGATAGTCTAGTCTCGCTCCGCCGATAGGTGCTCATCATCTAGAGATCGAGGGTTGATAATCAGACTACACCAACCAATCAACAAAGCCTGACAGATAGAATCAGTCTTATCGACCGAAAGCCAATCAAGCTTAGCTGACTGAAAACACCGACTCAGCCAAGCCGACTGAATTGCCCTTACAAAGCTGAAGCCAAAGAAGCCCAGTCGACCGAGCCCGAGAGGAGCCGAGCGATAGGCTCATATATGTAAAATACTTAGAATATTCTATACAACCCCCCTATGGAAAAATATATTATCATTATATTGTACCTTTTCCCTCTATTTATTAGTTATTACACGTATGTTTCTGACTCTAGCCGCTGCGCCTAATCAAAAGCTCATGAAGCATCCAAGTGCATGAAATTAAAATATAAATAAGTGGAAAAAAAATAGCAAGCAACTATAGTTAAGGATTATGGAAAAACTCACAAAAATTATGACGGTTGAACACTAATAGGTGTTCTTATTTTGAAGATTTCATCAAAAAGAACAGAATATATGACTTGTCCGACTAAATCAACAACTTGATCAAGTTAAAGTTCAAATTCTTCGACCAAAGTATACAAAAATTACTTTAAAAAAAAAAAGCTAGAAGATGCATGATGCTTTAAGACAAGCTTAGTTCTGGTGGCTAGAGAAAAAACTTCAGCTGAAACAATATCGAAGGCTAACTTGTCCAAATCCTATAAAAGAGATAATAATGACAACTAATGGCAAACTTACTGTAAGAAATCGTGCCATATAAAAAAAAGGAATTATTGATAAAATTTTCAAAATCAACCTTCAAATATTTTCTGAATATACATCACAAGCATATGATTAATGAAAATAATTGAATAAATGGCTCATGATTACCATGACAAGTCGGCTTGTGATAGAAAATTCACATAAATAATGTATATTTATAGGAGATAACTTGATCACATTCCAAAAATAAGAAATAAATAAAGATGATCAGATCTAATACTGAGATAGAACACAAAACAATGGAAAATTCTAATTATGAGATGAAATAAGTTAATGCCATCATAAGAGAATTTGGTTTTTTTAATTGCACAGCACAAAGTCTTGAGCTGTAACAATCATGCAACCATCTAATGGTAATCGTGAGCTCTGAGAAAGGAAAATACACATTCGATTGATAGTCCTTTGAAATGTGATGATGTAAAATGGATTTTTAATGCTCTTATTTCAAACTTAGAAATTAAGTTTTTCAGAATCAAATTTAGGAAACAAAACTAGCCTAAGCATAATTTATAAATTTATATTTCCTGAGACATTTCCATATTAGTAACTAACTTGTAGTTTTAGTAGTTGCATTCTCAGCTATAACCTTAATGTTCTATAATATAGATTCAAGACTTTAAACTTATTGAAATGATGTATCATGATGTTCTAAAAATACAAGTCAATGGTTGATGATAATATTTTAAATAACATCAAAACATATTTTAAAAGCAGAAATCACACATATTAGTTCAAATATATATATATATATATATATATATAATCATTTGAATAATCCAACGCTGAAAAATTTTTCATTGTTTGCCTTGGCATAAAAAAAACTACAATAATAATATATCTTCTAGCACAAAAACAAATGAACAAAAAGTCTTCCTTTGAAATATGAAAAAGACATAAAATTTTCAAACTCCCAATTATTCTGCAATTTAAATTTTTGAACAAATACTAATTGCATGTTTTCCACAACTAATGCCTTCATGTGCATCACTTCACACATTCAGCACCTTGAACAACCAATCAAATTATGCTAGCTATGACGATATCAAAACAAGCTTCAATAAAGTTAAGCAAATAATATTTCATTTAATGAACACCTTAACAGAGTACCACCAAAAAAAAAAAATCTAAATATCAAGGATGGTAGGCTCAATAATGAAGTCAGAGAAACAAAAATTAACCTTCGTGATGAAAGAGGGCTCAATAATGAAGTCAGAGAAACAAAAATTAACCCTCATTCGTGATGAAAGAGGAAGTAATTAATCCCGGATAGTGTTGGGCGAGTCAACAAATAGTGGAAACTCGTAGATAGAAAAATGAAAAAGTCGAAAACAAGGGGCTCATAAAAAGGGCTAGTAGGATCTAGAAACATCAAATCATCCATATATCAGTCACATAACATCAAACGAATCTTCCTGGAAATTGTAGCAGAGGTATGCAAGTACAAACCACTAATAAACTTTCATAATAGGTAACATTTTAGGAAATATAAACTAAAATATAACAAAATGAATATAATCTAAATGAATGTTCAATTTTCAAATTCAATGTTATGAAAAAATTCCCCTAGAAAAAATATAGGTTAAAATAATCCTTTATGTTAAAGAAGTTTAGGTTAAAAAATCATAATCTAGACAATTCTGATAATCCAAATTTATCCCAATAGTTGAGTTAAAAAAAACCTCCCTACAGTAGTTTTACTTCAAAATCATAATTTTGAAAAATCGGGTGAGTTATAAAAAGCCCATCAAT